CGGATTAAGGGCTGAAACTCGCCCTTATGAAGTTGGAATCGCTAGTAATCGCAGAACAGCATGCTGCGGTGAATATGTTACTGGACTTTGTACACACCGCCCGTCACATCAGGGAAGTTAATTGTTTTTAAAATAATTTCTACTTATTTAATTTTATTAAATAATTATTTAAATTAAATAATTTATAATAATAATTAAATAATCTAAAATTCCTAAAAAGTAATTAGTAACTTTGATGAAGTCGTAACAAGGTAGTCGTAGGGGAACCTGTGTCTGGAAGAGATCTTTAAACGTTCTTAAATTAATTATTAAAAGTATAGGAAAATAGTTTAATTGGTAAAATCATAGTCTCCAAAATTATTGTTATGGGTTCAAGTCCCATTTTTCCTGTTTTTATAAAATATTATAAATCAAAAAAATTTTATAAAATCTGAACTTAATTAAATTCAAGCTATAAAAATAAAATTTTATTTAAAATACTTTTTAATATAAGGGAATTTAAATTTAGATTTATAATATTTTATATATATTAAAAAATTTTTCAAAAAGACAACAATTTTTAATTTTACTTCTATTTTATAAATAATGAAGTAAATTGTATAGATTTAAGTGATTTATTAAATTTACATTTTTTTTATAATTATTCTAAATTTAAGTATTTCATTTTTTATTTACAATCTAGAAGTGAATTTTGTTTTATCAAAATTCACTATTCAAATAATTAAAAATTACTTAATATCTTAAATAATATAAAGAGTATTTCAAATATTATGCAAAATGTACGAAACAACGTAATTTTGCGTAATGATATAGAAAGACGTGCATTTATGAAAACACATCTTGTTTCTATAAAACTTCTTTTAAATTATGTAAGTTATGCTAAACAAATAGAAAATTATAACACTATTTTTGATAATCTAGCATTGTTTTTTAGATTTAAATGTTAATTATTATCAAGGTTTATTTATTATTTTTAAAAGTTTATAAACACTCATATTTAAATCGATTTTATTTTTAATTAATGATTTTTTATTATCTGATAGAGAATTATTAATTAAAGTAATTTTACTAAAAGAACAATTTTCAGAAATTAGTATTTTTGTAGCAAGAAAATCACATTTAAACTTAATTCCAATATAAAATATGTATTTATTTAAAAAAATATTAAAAAATATATTAATTTTAATTATTATTACTAATTTTATTATGATAGGTATTTTATACCATCATAATTTTATTGAGCAATTAAATTTAGAAATATTGATATTATTATTAAAAAATAATATTAATATTTTTCATTTTCACTATCAATGTCATGAATTTTGTAGTGGATATATAAATGAAGCAGATTTAGAAATATTACTTAATGAATTAAGAGGTATAATAACTTATGATTAAAAATATTTATAAAATAATTAAAAATATTAGGTTTCTTTATTAAGATAATTAAAAATATTAGGTTTCTTTATTAAGATAAAAAAAATTATATTAAAAATAATATTATTTATTATAATTTAAAAAATATTCATATAGAGAGATCCTTTTTTTTTTTTAAAAATAAAATTATATTTATATACTTATTAATTAAAATAATATAATTAAATTGATGAGAGTAGGACTTGAACCTACATCTTCAGATTATGAGCCTGATAAGTTGACCTATTACTCTATCTCATCATAAAAATTTAAATATTTGGAGAAAGTAGGATTTGAACCTACGTAGAAATTACTTCAACAAATTTACAGTCTGCCGCTTTTAACCACTCAGCCATTTCTCCTATATAAATTGTGATTAATGGGACTCGAACCCATAATTTTTACTTGGAAGATAAAGGATTTACCAATTAATCTATAATCACTTTTAATATTATATTTTATAAAATGTCAATACATTATATTATTCCCTATTAAATATTTTGGAAATACCAAATACCGCCTTTGGGTCCATTTTATAAAAAAAGATAAGCAAAAAAGGGGATTCGAACCCCCAACATTAACCTTGGCAAGGTTATACTCTACCATTGAGCTATTTTTGCAATTTAATTATTTTTTAATTAAAAATAAAGAATTTAATAATAAATATAATTCTGTATTAGTTTTAACATTTGTATGAATAGAAACATCAATTGGTGGTATATTTTTAAATTTTAAAAATTCAGTTTTTAATTCAAAAAAATATAAAATATTAAAAATTTGAAAATTTAAAATATTTTTATTTTTTAAATTAAAATTAATTATATTTGAATTTGGTAAAATAAAAAATAAAATTTTTTCTAAAAAATAAAAAATATTTTTTTTTCTTAAAGTAATTTTACAACCAATAATTGAATTTTTTTTTATTTTTAAAAATATATTATTTTTTTTTGATTTCGTTATAATTGGTTTTTGATTAGTTATTAATTTTAAAAGTAAAATAATATTAATTAATTTTTTTTTTTCTAAATTAGCATCTTTAAAACCAATATTTAAACAAATTTTATTTATTTGAGGAATTTCAAATATATTTTTATAATTTAATTTTGTTATAAGATTGTAAATAATAACATTTTGATAATGATTTTGTAAATTTTTTTGCATAAATTTTTATTATAAAATATTTGAAGCTAATGATAATATTTTAAAATTTTTTTTTTTTCTAAATTCAGAAGTAATTGGACCAAATATTCGGGTTCCTAAGGGCTTAATTTGATTATTTAAAATAATAATACAATTTTTATCAAATTTTATCATATTACCAATTGTACTTTTTTTTTGATAAGAAGTATGAATTATTAAAGCTTTAAATAAATCACCTTTAACTATTTTAATTTTTTTTTTTTTATTTAAACGTAATTTTTTTGCAGAAATTAAAATAGTATCTCCAATTTTACCAACTTTTCTTTTATAAATTTTAATACATTGTCCTAATTTGATACCACTATTATCATTTACTTTTAATTTGGTTTGAATTTGAATCATATAATATAATTAAATTGATGAGAGTAGGACTTGAACCTACATCTTCAGATTATGAGCCTGATAAGTTGACCTATTACTCTATCTCATCATATCGGAAGAAAAGGATTTGAACCTTTGATCTTCTGTTCCCAAAACAGATGCATTAGCCAGACTATGCTACCTTCCGTTTATATATAAAGATAAGTTAATGATGGTAGGATTTGAACCTACAACATTAGGATTATGATTCCCACGCTCTACCATTAAACTACATCATCATAAAAATAAGTCGAAGTGGGATTTGAACCCACGAGTTAATAAATTAACTGATAGTTTAGCAAACTACTGCCTTAAACCTGACTTGGCTATTCGACCTAAAATATAAAACTTCTTTGATAGGATTTGAACCTACAACCTAATGGTTAACAGCCATTTGCTCTACCGTTGAGC